ACAGTAATATCTGTATCATTGTGGTGATGATACATCATCATATCCAGCTCGTTCTGCACTTTGTAGATTCAGCTCTTAGAGATCATAACATGAACATCTCCACATCTTACTTCTGTTGTTTGTTTAGTGCTTCTCTTTAATAAGCCTGGTGGGTTTTTTATGGAGAATCAGATTCAGTTGTCAGAATAATCCTTTATTTATTTTGATGTCTTAACATCACCATGAGTTTAATTTACTTCCTTCAGAAGCCATCCCTCAATCACTGTCTTTGATCAGAAATGAATGTTTTTCTCAGCCTAAGATCTAGTGATGAGATGCCAAGAAATATTTCCACATACTCACAGATTGGGAAGCAAGAGAGGCTACTTCTATAAAAATCAATTCCTGCTGCAAATACAGCGCTCACCATGTTGCCAGGGCTTGCAGAGTGGACTCTCTGAACAGGTCAAAGCTACTTCGTTCACTTCTCACATGGGAATTGTCTGGGCTTGTGCACTGCTGAAGCATAGGGCTGCCATAGCCAAAGGTACACAGGTACACAAAGGTACCCATATTCCGTCCATATGATGTTCTACAGCACCCAAAATGACTGCAAGTCTGATTCAGAGCTCCAAACCTGCAGTAAGCAGGTGTGGTACAGGTCAGGACTCCATGCTGTGCATGTGAAAGTTTGCACCACATAATTTTTCTATCCAAATCTGGCTGACAGGGAATGATGCCACCCAATGGGGCTTTCATTCCAACCACTGTCTGTTATAAAGCCATATAGCCCTGTTCCTCTTTCTGTCGCCAAATTTAAAAAGTACAACTTAAAACTAGTTGTTTTTTTTTTTCTTTCTGCTACTATGATGGAGAAGATGTTCCAGAATCCTGCTTTGATGTTTTGAAACCTTATTTTAATTATTGGTGGGCATTTTGTTTTGTACTGTATTGTTCTTTACTTTAAATAACCTTCCCTTTTCCTTTTTTTTTAATTCCCTGATGTTATATTCCCTTCTTTTATATGCTCACACCAAGATGTTGCCAGTAAGATAGCCTTCTTCATCCCCTTAATTGTCCTAGCAGCACCTCTTGGTCCCTGGTCCAGTTTGAATCTATCTTTTCTGAACATATTTGACCAGGCCTCATCACTACAGGTTATGAAGGTATTAATGCATTGCTTTCTCTGCATTGCAGGATCCTATGCCTTTTTCCACAAAAGTCTGATTATATCATGTGACTGGTACATATAATTCTTTCTTCTCCTCTGCTCTTATAGAAATTTCTTTTGGCCCTTAACATTGTCACTTTGGATTATTCACTACAAAATTCCATCATATTTCTGTTACTGCAGTCCTCAAGGTCATGAAAGTCTTCCTGTGTGATACTCCAGTCCTCTTCTGTATCAGTAGTACCTTCCAATTTTGTGTTGTCTGCAGTTTTCACTCTCTCATTTTTTTCATATTTTTTGTGCCAAGGTCATTAATGAGAAGATTAAATAAAATTGTTCCCAGAGTGAATCTAGGAAACTCCATTAATAAAAACCCTTTCTCTTGACAGAGCACTCCTCTTCAGTCAGTTTCTTATATACTTTACAGTTCATATGGTAGTCTTGATTTTCATGTTAATTACTGTTATACAAAATACATTCAGGACCCCAGCAAGATTAGTGTCTATCTCTGTAAAGAACCTGCAATAATTTTATCAAATAAATATATCAAACAAGTCTAGAACAACTTATCCATGATAAGTGGGTACTTTTATCCTTCTTTCAATCCCACTTTGTCTTTCATTATGTTTCGCTTCCAAATGTGTCATAAAATCCTGATCATTATTCAGCTCAGAGATACATGCTTTGGCAGCTGCCTAGTTCATTTATTCCCCTTCTTGATTATATCTAAAAATTAATAAGAGACTGGTATCTCACTTTTACTGTTAATAAATTAAACCCCAATATTTGGTACTTCATTCTAAATTAAAATGCTAAGAATTAAAACATAACAAACTATTTTATAACATTCTGTTAATAATTATTGAACAGTGTTTCAGAAATGTATGAATGTACAAAAAGGGGACATATGAAAACAATGAAACAGCTATAAATGTTATTGTGGGTAGCATTCACAAATTCTATAAACGTTATTTAACCAACTTCCCATTATGAAGTATGCTATCTCACTGTGGACTGCACATGATTGCCTTGTTGCACAATATGAATCAATCAGACTCAGCTGTGACACTGCACATCCTTAAAATAAATTTCAGCATTGATGTGTTTTATATTCAGAACAAAATGTGAACTGCAGGTGACCTAAAGAGGAGGGGGTTAGAAGAATTGGTAGAATGTTAGGATGGCACTTAAGCTGAAAATGTGTAGTTAACAAAGAGCCTTACTGAAACTGGTTGAACCTTACTTGCTCTTGTAATTTGACTTACCTCATCACAGAGATTACACATAACACACAATCACATCTCAAAAGCAGCCAAAATATTTTATGATTTATGTGGAAATCAGAGGCCCATGTACCTTAGAGCATTGGTTCACAGCCATTGCAGAGGGAAGAGTTTCATCTAATGTATCACCAGTATGGCAGTTTTTGCTGTCCTTTCCCATAAACTTGCCAAACACATACCAACTTGGTGTAACTTGGTTCTGTTGTGTTTGCAGGATTTGATACTGTATTGTACAACTACAGGACACCGGGGTGTTTTATGGAGCAGAAATTAATGTAGACTCTAAGATAAAGTAGTTATGATTAAGCAAAAGTCATAGCTGTTGGTGGCTCAGAGCTGATTTTGTGACTGTATGCCTGGGACACAGGATTGCATGAAGTCGAGAGTTCAGAAAGATCAGCCCAGACTGGACGGGGAATCCACTGCCAAGACATATTACTGGAACTCCTCAGTCTTCAGTGCTACAGCTGGGTGATCATATAGAGATGTAAAATAAGAAATACAGCAAAGAAACTTTTTCTATGAGAAGTGAAAGGCAAAATTTAACATAAAACTTTTAGGTGCATTTGCAATTGGGCTTTACACTGGTGCCTACCTTTCTCCTAAGCACTGATTCTCCCAGTGGGGAGATTTCAAAGTGTGAATTCCAAGAATAGCATTGCCTTAAATGCTGAGAAATGAGCTACATTGCAGGTTTGGTAAATCTGAAGGTTTTGTTCAGCCACTTAGTCATAGCTGTCCCCTCAAGTAAGAGATAACAAAAGGATTTTTTTTTGAGAAGGTGGGACTAGAACAAAATATAATGACTTGAAACCATATGGGTCCTTTGAGTTTTATAAAAGAAGCAGATGTAAAAGATTTCCCATTGTAGAGTATCATCAAATGACTAGAGCCAGTAAACTGTACATAATGATTTTGATTTCATGTAATCAACAAAGCTCCATTGACTTTAATGGCAAAACATTGATTTGCACTGGTGGAAGAGTTGAGAGGACAGAGGGGCATTACTGACTGTCTGGTATATGTAGGTAATATCTCTGAAATAATTATCAAAAATAGAGGTTATTTAAGGTTGTAGCTCCATTCTGCAGTGCCAAAGCTGTCTTTAACAGTCCTAATGCAAAAAGTGCAAGGAACACATTCCAGAGGAGCATCTGAATTTATTCCCTTTTTTCCCCTGGCCTGGGTGAGGATGCCTCACCAGTCCTAAGGCATAGCTCTCTGCTCCACTCTTGGTATGTATTGCTTTGTGCACTTGTACAGTGACTACCACAAGGCAGAAGGATAACAGGGGGATCTGAGACATCAGCAGCAATGAACAGGACTCTGAACTCCCTGCCTTTTGCATGGAGTCAAACATTGCCCTGATACAAGAATTTTTGGTGTCCATGTTATTCCATGTATCAGCGAAATTTGGCCCTACATGTCACAGTTGCTGTGATAATTGTGGACAGATCTGAACATAGCAGTTAGGCTAACACAGCTGACCTTCCCAAACCCAAACTACTGTTCTGGATTTATTTTTGTAGCTTGGGAAAGACAGACCTTCATCCCAGTGGGAGGACTAGAAGCATCTCCTAGGCTGGTTCAACTTCTGTTTGCAGAGCCACCTGTGTGGCCCAGAATTGCCTTTGGCCACGTGTAAAATTCTCCATGAGGCTGGTTCACCTGTTCACCATCAGATCCACCCACTCAGATGCAAAAATCCCTAAGTCAAAAGGCATGAATGTCAAAAAAGAACAAAATAAAGTCAAAGCATCAGTGTTTTCTTTCCTTCCCTCCACCACACATTAACCAGTTGGGACAAAAAGCATCTGTAACACTGCTTGGTTCTTCTCTGAAGATCTGATCCTGTTACAGTGGTCAGGTCTTCTCTGAAGAGCTGATCCTGGACCTGCTCATGAACATTACAAGTATCTCTCTTTCTGACCACATGCAGTACAGGTCAATGTCTCAAATACCAAACACTTCAGTTCCCTGCATTGCAACACAAGCTTGTTTGTGCTCAAATACAGAATTACAGTTCTGGTTTCTGCCTACAAATGTGAACCTCTTATGGTATCATATTATCTTTGCCTTGACTGCAGGATATTGCAACTCAGTAAAGTGCTAGTGGAGACCCAAATGTTATTTCATTAACTTTCATTTCAGATTATAGCCTGGCCTGGCCAACAACATAAGGTTATGCTGGCTAGAGGTTGATGGGCAAGTGCTTTTGTTATCTGTAGCCATTCATGCTTTGTGCAGACCTCCCTTGTGATGCAAGCTATCCCAGATGAATTTGTGCTGAGATGGGCTCAGTGTGTTTGCCTGATGGCACATCCTGTCCATCAGTGAAAACTGCTGCACTACTCTAAAACACCACAGCAGGAGCCACATGAATTTTTCCTGGTGTGCCCACTGGATTTTCACAGCAGGGTGCCTTATTGTAATGTACCCAAAGCACAGGTTGAAATAATTAATTAGTAATGCCACAAGAGGTTTCCTGATTGGTTTGAGCCTGCCTAAAACTGCACTGCTGCTGAAAAGCACTGAGCTACCCTTAATACTCCCCCTATGTCCCTATCATGCTGGCTCAAGTGAGCTTCCTGGAAACTGATCCTGCAAGAAAAGCAGGTAAATTGGGTCAGTTCTCTCATCTCTCTGCTGCTGGGCTGTGCCAAGGGAGCACTGGGACAGCAGAGAGATTAGGGACATGTAAGGGAGAGACACGAGTTCCCCTCCAGCAGCAGCATAGCCTTTGATGGGTGTCCTGGTTTCAGCTGGGATGGAGTTAATCTTCCTAGTAGCTGTGGTTTGGATTCAGTATGAGAATACTATTGATAACACACAGATGTTGTTGCTAAATGGTGCTTACCCTAAGTCAAGGACTTTTCATTGTTTCGTACTCTATCAGTGAGGAGGTATACAAAAAGCTGGAAGGCAGCATGGCCAGGGCAGCTGACCAAACTGGCCAAAGGAATGTTCCATACCGTAGAATGTCATGCCCAGTATATAAACTGGGTCAGTTACCTGGAAGGGTGCCAAGCACTGCTTGGGGACGAGTTGAGCATTGATCAGTGGGTGATGAGCAATTATATTGTGTATCACTGTTTTTTTTTTCTTTGAGTTCTATGTCTCTCTCTCTTTTTGTTATATCCCTTTTAATTACAATAATAATAATAATAATAATAATAATAATAATTTACTTTATTTCAATTATTAAACAGCTCTTATCTTAACCCAGTGGTTTTACCTTTTTCTGATTCTCCTCCCCACCCCACTGGCTGTGTGGTACTTAGTTGCCAGCTGGAGTTCAGTGATGACAATGAGCTTAATCCAAACTGCACTCTGTGGTTGTTTCACATTCAGCATCTCCAGATCCAGAGAGATGGTGTGGTGAACCAGACAAAACTGGCCTGTCTGGAAGCATGGGCTGCAGCTCAAGTGCTGGTGGTCACACTGTGGGAATCAGTTATTCCGTGCAGCTATTACCATCGACCTGCACATCTTGGCTGTTTGCAGAGAACACCATCAGTCAAGTCAAGCTGTCTCAGGACATGGTAACTCAAAAGCAGACAGCTGGAAGTAAAACTGTAGTGAAGCCTAACAGTGAGTGCTTTGTGTGGCTCCATTTTAACTCGTGCCACTTATTGCAACAGGCTGTCCAACACAATTTAAAATTAACAAACATCAGCATCTCCATAGCTGTTAAGACAGGAAAAAAGAACGAAGAAGGTGATTTGCTTGGCCAGCCAATGTCTGATTTTTATTTTTTTTCTGACTACCCCTCAAGCCAGCCCTAACACCTCTGGCTCTGAAGATACTACAAAGAAAGGAACACATTTGGATGCAGCACAGAATTGGTTTTTTTGCTCAACCTCTGAGCAAGCAGGCATTTGAGACTGTAAATGAAACATAGGCTGTGTCTTAAGGTGGCTGCTCCCATGTAACTGTGCTGTAATATGAATGTCACAACAGATTTACTTGGAGATGGAAGCAGCTTTGGTTTTGAGTCAGACATCATATTAGAAGAGCTACTCCTGGCCATTAAGTAATGCCTCAGCTGACTGGTGGTTTAATGCTCATTGAGGGCATCTATCAAACTCAGCTTTTTCTCTGATAAACATATGTCAGAAATAATGTGTTTGGGTTTTTTTCTTGACTTTGATCATTTTGAATGAGACTATTTTTGTCAGAAAATCTTTAGGATGCTGGTCAGTATGGCTCACCTGATATGTGTAGGAAGACAAAGAACACCTGGTTAGTGTTTGGCCAGGCTTGTGAATGTTGCCTCCAGCAGAGCATGTTAGTGGTAATCACATTTTCTCAAGGTGCAAGTGATGCTCTATTACTACTGGCATTCATAGGATGTGCTAGGAGACATCTGAGATTTTCAGAGAACTCAGAACACTGTGGCTACATACCAGACATGAAAGAGAGCAACAGTGAAATTCAAGTGACCAAGAAGCCAGTGAGGAGCAGAATAGGGGAACAGAAGACTGAATCTTTGACTGAGAGTAACATGACACAAAAATGGAATGAGCTGGGACTAATTACAGGAAGGACCTGAAGGTTTGGGAGTGAGGGGAGAGTAGTCATTTTGTAATGAGCTGGAGAGAACAGACAGTTGCCCTCAGTCAAGACCAAAGGAAACCAGGGTGTGGAATGGGGTGGTCTAACAAGGCGAAAAGGAAGAGAAAGATTGGAAGGAGAATGAGTATTAGGAAGGAAAAATGCCAAATATTAAAAAAAAGAGGGGAAAATAATAGAAAAAAAAAAGGTACTAGGAGAAAAGGAAATAAGATAGCAGGGGAACAAAAGACAAAGAATAATGACTAATAGTCCCCAACAAAAGGTATCTACTGAATAAGGCAGAAAGTGTCATTCAGTCTGTTCTGATAAAATAAGCAGCACTGTGCAGTCCTTCCTGATACCCATTATTGTACCAGTGACAAGACATGACAAGAGCTGCTTTGTCTTCCCTGCCTGGTGCTGCCCTGCTGGGGCAGAGCTGGCCTTTGAGGAATGATGTGTATGAGGTCAGTGTTAGCAAATCTGCTTTTTATCCTTGGTCACACTTTCATCAACAAGGCTGTATTTATACTGAGGGGTTTTTTTCTATTTTACTATTCCCTAGCCCTGACAAGAATCATCAGTGCTAGTCCTGATGAAATCACTGCTGTAAATGGCCTTCTGGTATTTTTATCTCAGGCTCATCAACATCTGATGTGAAAAGAGTAATAAATTTGTATTGGAGAAGTCTCCCATAATGCTCTTACCACTGCAGTTACTGATTGACAGAGTTAAGACTACAGTGAGGCTGATATCCCAAAGCATTCCTATTGCCCTCCACAACCCATGAATTAAACCAGGCAGCATTAAAATTAAAAACCTGAGAAGCAACATGAGAAAAGAATTCCCCTATTTTCAGCTTTGATGTCACCAAAAAGGTTTTTCTCTTTTGGTTATAATAATAAATTCTGTTACAATAAAGAATTTCATGCCAGTATTTTGTGCAAGTAAAACTCTTAGTCTGGGGTAAAGGTGAAGCAGGAAACTCTGTCTTTCTCTTAAAAAAAGACATATTAACAATTGGGAAGAATAATAAAAAAGGATTCTCTCAGAATATTCTCTGAAGTACTCCACATTTCAGCTGGTTTATAAAGAAGAAGGGACTGGAGTTTAGGAAAAGAGATGAGTTCAATTGATTTAAATCCAGAGTAGATATCTGAAATGCTGATTAGTCTGTGACTTATTTTTAAACATTTCTATGCATCCCTGTGAACCAGGGAAAGAGAAAACTTCTTTATAGGCTCTTTCCTGGACAATCCTATAGGAACTGTAGGAGAAGCAGTCTCCTTTTGCACCCTTTTTTAAAGAAGAATTTGTGTAGAGCAGTGATTGCCTACATTCTGTTATAGAAATATGATGATTAGGTTAATAACAGTACACAATCCAAAGGAGAAGAAAACTTTCAAAAGGTTCAGAGCTCAGAATAAGTGAATTTTTCATATATGTACATGTATAATATATTCTTTCCCTTACAGCTTCTTGGCAGTAGTTCATGGCACTGGTGAAAAATGAGGCTTTAGATAGTTCCACTCTCTGAATCAGTGTGGCTGCATATGGACATTAAGTGATTCATGGCAAACAAAGACAGTGTCTATAATGCCATGTAAATTAAATTTAAAAAGAAAGAATCTGATTCTTTCCAAGGGGAAGACGTGTGATGAACTGCATTATAATATATATGCATACATATAGTTAGCATCTGGTGCAAAGAGGCCAGGATTTTTAAAACTGTAGAGTGAACCTTTTCAGGATCCCTGCAGTCTGAAGAGAAATCCGCACATCCTTAATATTTGCATATCGCCCCATTATGCTTTGGAATTCACAGAAGTCTATTCCACACTGAGAAGCAGGTATTTTTTTCCTTTTCTAATGGAAATTACTGTTCTTCAGAGTATCTAGAAGTTACTAGGTGCACACTGTACTAAGCTATGTTTATCTCTCTTCTCTATAATATTATACATTTTTCCCTCTTTGTTCTTTTAATCCTACAGGTCACATCCTCTTCATGTTCCTAAAGAAATACGATCAGTTTGAGAGTTATCATTTGCTGTAAAGTGATCTTTCTCCATAAGAAATAAAAGGCCTCTATTGCTAACTGAGCTTTTTAGACAGGTTTTATAACACGGTTTTGAAGCCTTTTTCTCATTCAGCCTTAATCTTCTGAAGACATTACACTTTAAAGTTCTAGCTTTACATAGAAATAAAAGGTAAATGTTGATTCGCCTTTAAAAAAAAAAAAAAAAGGTAGCTTGAATGATCTGGTTCCTTAATATTGTTTCAGTTAGCAGCAGTACAGAAAATTTAAATGAAGTATGTAAGGAAATAAAGTATTTTCATCTCAAAGATGAAACAAAAGGAGGAATCAATCCATCAGTGACATACAGAAAAGCTAGTCCTACTGACCACAGTTTGTTTGCAAGATGCTGTATTTGAGCTTCACATGAACAGTACATGAGGTTGTTTGAAGGAAATGAGAGTAATTAAGTGTAGAGGCAAGTCGAGAAACTTCTCAAAAATCAAAAAGTGCACGAAGAACAGCTCCTCAAGCTTTTAAGAAAATACATACCAGCTAATGAAATATCAGAACTACAGCTCTTGTGTACAACGCCCGCCTCCATCGAATCACTCCATGATGAGTCATAAAGTACAGGTAGTACTATATGACACAATGCCATGCAGTGGAAAGCCTTTAGATCTCTGCAGTGATTCTCTGATAAAATCCAAATATTTCTGAAATTGTGTGGCTTCTAGTTTTTCAGGGATATCACACTCAAGCACAAAGGAACTGTTACTAGCTGGGTAATTCTCGGCCGAAAAGAATTCCTAAAAATATGTACATAGCACCACCTACTGACATTATGGGTCTTTGCAAGTGGATGTTTTTAAAAAAATCGGAAGACCTGAGGGTTACAATAGTGGTAGCGGAGTTCCCCTAACTGGCACAGAATCGGTTCCTCTTTCTACTTACAGCTCTGTAAACTCAAGAGAATGCTGATCCTTGCTTCAAGAGTTAAGCAGCTGAAGAAAACATGGTATCTGAATAGAAAAAATAAGGAAAAAAGAGAGGAAAAAGGAGCCCAAAAATGAGTAGCTGAATGAGTCAAAATGTGTCCAGGAGCAAAAGTTAGATGTTGTTAGTAAAGGGAATAATTTCTCAATATGTCATTTGAAAGCACCAAGACTATCCTTTCTTTTGGCCTTAAAGTCCTGCATCCTCCTTTGGGCTATCCATACAGCTTATCAGAGTCAATGGAACTCACTGTTAAAACAGTTTTCCCCTTCTTCATCCTATGTAATTTTTCTGCTGGCGAGACAGGTTGACAGGAGTCAGGGCCTGCTGAAAACCAGAGTTGGTGTAGACAGCCAGGTGTGTGGAGGAGAGTAAGAATGTGGTGGTACCAAAGGGCTGTCAGATTGCCTCAGTTACAACACGTAATTTCATTTTTCCTGGCTTATATTTGGTTCATTGACTTGGTTTATTATTGTTATGTAGACATAGAGGAGAACGTGCAAACAGCCAAGATGGAAACTCCTTAGGTGGGGTGAACTCAGCTGTCAAAGGCAACTGTGATTCTGCAGCTGCTGAGCAGGTTTTTAAGCTGAGTCTTGACAAAAGAACACTGAGAAGAGGTAGTGCTTTTCTCCTACCTACTAGCCAGGGTGTCCCCATGACATATATGATCCATGCCTCAGCTGCTGAAGCAGAAACAGTATGCAGCAAGCATTGCTCTGCCAGCAGGGAGGAGCATGGGGAGAAAAGTAGGGCAGGGCAGGGCATGAAGCTGTGATAAGTTGATCAGGGCAGGACAAAAGATTAATATCATGGATACTATTGCTGCTTAGCAGTTTTGGTATCAACTTTTGGTAAAAACTTTTAGAGCCACAGTACTGCTGATGCTTTGGAATATCATAGAATCAGAGAATCATAGAATGGCCTGAGTTGGAAGGTACCTTAAAGATCATCTAATTCGAACCCCCCTGCCATGTACAGGGACACTTTTCACTAGACCAGGACCATCATGAGCCTCTATGCTATCCAAAACATGACCAGACTGCTCCCAGAGCCACACTAGAAAGCCATATAACTTTATTTTTTTGTAGATGCAACTGAGATGGTCCTTCTGCTGGATTCAGATCAGTCAGCTGACCTACTTAGCTCTCCCTGGAAGAAAGAATTGTCTTTTTATTCCTTATGAAGCCTTTTATCAACTCTTTGACCTGGGTTCTTTGGTCCTACTGAAATGCATCAACAATAAATAATACACATTGAAAAAGCAAACTCAATCTATCACCAAATTTTATTTTTGTGGAATGGTAGTAGGATACTGAGCCCAGATTATGCATATGAATATGCTAACGCATGCAGGTGAATCCCCAGAAATCAATTTCTTCTGTGACTATGTCTTTACCCCTTCAGAATGTCAAGGCCAGTGTTTAAACAGATCACATACTCTTTCTCAGTACCTTGTCAAATATTTTTATTTTTCTCAACTCCAGTAATAAGTCAGTATTTTGGATGATGTTGCATGTGTCTGTATAAAGACAGAGTACATACATGAAAATTGTTTTAAGAACAGCTTTTAAAATTATTTACTAAATGCATATTCAAATACCTCTTTCCACAGCACTAAGAACAATTTCCAAGAGACAATTTCTGAATTCCAAAGCACACTGCTTAGAAAGCAGTACAGAGCTCAGAATGCTTTATCTTCACTTATCTTGAGGCTACATGAGCACCATTTCTCAAGGTGTAGTTTCCCGATTGGCTTAATTCCATCTAAATCCACAGTGCTACTGTGGCAAGTGGTAGTCCTGTCCCACTACTGCTTGTGTAACTAACTATGGGCTTGGCTGTGGAACAAACTAGAATGGAAACTGCAAATTTTTTGCAGGATTAATTTGCAGGCGGACTAGTGCCCTCCACTGTCTTGACCGCAGGCCCCTGGAAGTGCTGATGTCCATCTGCCCGCATCCCTCGGCAATGCCGAGATGAGATTATGCTGATCATGAAGCCCCACCCTGAGGCTGTTTCTTGGCCATTCTAGCTTTGATTCCCACAGAAATGCAGTCTCAGGCGTGGTCTCCCTACCCTCCACACTTCCATTTGGTTTAGTCTGTGGATGCTGACCTTTTCCACTATCATTAGACACAAGGGCATTTAAGGGCTCCATTCCGAAGTCCGAAATAGGCAGTTGTCAATCTTAGTCACGTAACTGCCCACAAATCAAAGCCATATTATAAACCACTTAATTTCTCGCGCTGTGCCATTGCACAGTTTCACACACGCTGATACAAACGTGTGGAGCGGGGCAGGGCCGGCGCAGCCAAGCCTATCTCCCACACGAACGCCGTGAGCAGCGCGGGGCAGGCAGATGCCTCTCGGCTGTGAAGGGAGCTCAGGCACAGCACCAGCAGCGCTCTGCCCGCCGTGCGCGCTCCCGGTGCTCCGGGCAGCCCAGGGAACAAAGCCGCCTCCGAGCGCTCCTGCGCTCCGGGAACGCCGCGTCCGGGGGCGGCCCCGACCCTCTCCACCGCCCCGCAGCCGCCGCCG